AGGTGGTTTTGCAATTGGGCGATGGGCGGTTTTGCAAAAACATCGACGAATTGTTTTTTTTACCATTGTTCAATATGCCCCTCCCCCCCATATTGCAGTTTTTGAGGTTTTTGTACGACCTATAAAAAATAGTTGATACTAAGAAATGGTTAAGCAACTGGGTGTTGTTATTGGAGGTCTCCAAAGGAGACACCAAATTTTCCGATCGAAAAAAATTGATTTTCAAGAATTCCATACCATTTCTGCGAAATAGAAACACTATACAAAATATTATTTTTTATCCATTTAGAAAAATTCTACGGTTTCTGATGAAGTTGCAATTAGTTGTCACATTGAGTGCTTGCCTCAGTGTCCGAATAGTACGAGTTTAGGGAACACTGCGAGGTATAAGATTCCCTCCGCATTGCCCTCAAAACTTCTTCGATCTTATCTGTGTATTTTTTCAATTCCCGTTCAGCCTTCAATTCAGCTTGTGTCGCATTCATTTGATGGTAGTTTATTTCGTAGCGTATCTTAATCGGATCCAACACTTAAGAATTTTATATTTTAAATAGTATTTGGAATAGTAGGTACATATCTATATCAGAACTAAACTAAATTGGGTTACTCACCATGAGCCTCCATTAGCTGTTTCTCAATCTCCGTCTGATATTCTTTATTGGCCTTTTCTTTATTTTTAGCAGTCCTATTCAGCAGCCAATCGCTGATCAGCTGTTGCAACTTCGCCTTATTTTCAGCCAACTCATCCTCAACGGTATTTTCTATAGTCAGCAGTTTCTGTATATCCCTGTAATAAATTTTCTTGTATTTTTATATTTACTCACAAACAGGTCCTGAGGGACAGAGAATGTGCCAACTCTGATAAGGAATGGGTAATACGAATGTACTTTTGATTTAAATATNCCATTCTCACTTTTAGCGAACGCTTGTTTGTGGTAGTGCCCACCTCTGCTGATAAGGAATGGGTAATACGAATGTACCCACCATGCAAAACATGAGAAATAGGCAACAATCGTCAATGGCAACAAATTGGCGACTCACCGGTTTATTGCTGTGGTGACAAATCGGCAACAACATTTCTTTCATGTCAACTTTGGAATAAATAAGTTATCAAAAATTCCTAAACTTATAAATTTCGCGTTGATAGTATTATCCAAAATCGTCTAATTTTTACCAGGGACAGAATTGAAAAAATAGGAAGCCCCATAGGGAAAGAAAGAATTATTTCTGTTTCTATATAAGTTCCAATTTTGTATACAAAAAATTATTGAAGTATTAAAAAGAATACAATTATTCCAAATATCGCCTGAAGCGATAAGAAAATGACTCATTCAGGTAATAAGAAAACGACTCGCAGAGGCGAGTTGCCTTCGGCGGACGTTTTGGAGCGACTGGTAATAGGAAATCGACACGATGGCAATATTACCGGCAATAAATTTGTTACCGAGGGCGAAACGTTTTCTTATTGCCGGCAACAAAAATTGTTTGGTGGGTACTTTTGATTTAAATATGTATACATACATATCATCCTTAGTATAGGAAGGCCAAATCTAAAAATTCTATTGCGCTACGGAGTAATGAAAAAACTACATACAAAATCAAGTCCTTTTGCTGCGAATTTCTTTTTAAGACTATAAATAATTTTATGTTGTAGTAGATATAAAAATCCAGTAGTGAGTTATCGGTAGACTTTTGTAAAATATTGGATTTGAGAAGCAAATGACTTCGTGCCTTTCTATATTAAGGTAACGATATGTATGTATAAACGAGTACTTACTTTAACATTTCATTCTGCATAAGCTTTCCTGCCTGTACGCTGGCGAACAGCGTCGTTATTATGCGT